GTGGAGATCTTTAGATTGTTGTATATTAGCCATCAATAATAAATATCTGATTTATTAGGTAAGTTTTATTTGGCTACGAAAGTCCGTTAAATCATATTGTTTGGAAGTTAAAACATATATATCCGGAATGTATATGTATATTTGGTTTGGTTTAATCTCGGTTTAATCTCTTATATAGTTTGGTTAGTATGTTGGTTGGGTGTTTTGTATATAAGCGTAACCTTATCTTATTGTAAATCAAATTGAGTGTTAATACATAGATATTTTCTCTTCTTCATACACATTCTCTCAGCTTTCCATGGAAAACCTCAAATGCTAATATGGTATCAGAGAGAAACAAGATCTTTCATGGCTTTGATTTATATTTTTTTCTTGAATTGACCTTAATTTCTCGGATCTTCAGCGGAAATCTCTCCGATTGAAAATTTTATTTTATTTCAGCTTTCGCAATTCACATTCATCTTCATCGATTCATCAAAATTGATCGATCTGTGTTGCTTAATCGGTTGGATTCTGATCGATATGGCTAAAAAAGAGCCGGTTATGTGGTATTGGATAAGTATACTTATCAAACTTTTTGGTTAATAATGAAAAGTGATATTAATTAGAGACAAAATGAAATAAACTATGATCGAACAATATAAGAAAACCCAGTAACTAATCATATTCTAAAAAACCAATCACCAACTATGCATCCTGTCCTAGGTTGCTTATATATAATTATGAAAAAAACTATTTTTTTATTTGAAATTACGAGAATATCATCACATAATTTTGTACAAAAATATCACATAAATACTAACTGTTTTTTTTCTTCTCATTTCATGTTATCTGGTCCATTTCTTTATTTTCTATACTTTGAAATTTGATAGAGTGATGGTTAATTTGTTCCTTCTCATTTCATCAGATTTTACTACTTATGGAAATGGACGCACTTATAGACAATCGAGGAAATTGATGTGCATATAGACGTGTCCATTTCCATAAGTAGTAGAATCTGATGACAAGGTAAAACAAACTTGCACCACACCAAAGTAATAACACTAGAAAAGTATATTTTGGTATGTATCCATCAAAATTTGTCCATGATATGTTATCGTCTATCAAAATTTATCAACTAACACCTAAAATTAAACACTTACAAATATAATCTACTACACGACCTATATGAGACCTATACCAAAATCTCCTAGACATATTTATAATCAGCTTAGGAGTAGCACTTTGGTTTTAAAAAGCGCGCCTAGGCCTCGCCTAGGCTCAAGGCGCAGTGAGGCTGTTGATTATGCGCCTTGTCTAACAGAGGTGAGGCGATTTGATAAAGGCTCTCGCAGGCTCTCGCTTCTTAACGCCTCCATCCAAAGCGCGCCTAACGCCTTTTTGTGCCTCCACACATATAAGGTAAATTTCCATAAACCATTATATTCCTTTATATCTTTAGGTGAATATCATTAAATAGGCATATATATTTACTTTTTATTTGCAAAACTTAACTACACGTTATTCTAAGGATGCTAGGCTACACTAAAAAAACTATTTGACGATTAAAATCTCGCCTCTTCACCT